CCAGTATGTATCCGGAAACACCTACTCGAATACGGTCAACAAGGAAAAACGGCCACAATAAACGATGAAGAGATGACAGAGTAGGTATTATATCTATGTTAATTATGAGAGATTATGGTATGTTAGCTGTAAGGAGAGTAGTAGTGAGGAGTAGATATTAAACAAGAAGAGTTATTATGTCGTATTGAGATATATATGTTTGACTCCATGTTCACCTGTGGTAGTCAACTTATGTCGTATTCTTAGATTTAGTTATGTAGTTAGTTTTATGAGTGACGAAGTGATATTAGGAGAATATTTTAATGTGGTTCATATAAGGACCTCGGTGATTTTTGAAGTAGCAATTTATTTGTAAGGAGCATAGACGTCCCGACAATTATACTATTGTAGCCGCACTCTGTCTCACGACAAGATACTGACTCGAACCCAAACGAATAAGCACGCCTCCCAAAACACGAGATTATCCACATCCCCAGTTATAGGCAGTTCACCGCAGACATGCAGTTTAGCGAGTCGTATCAGCCATACAATCCACTCAACGATTAGACCTAAAGTAGGACAACACACATAACTCTGACAGCAAATCAGATTGCGAGTCACATCTCAGCGCCCATATCGCACTGCTCGACCAGTGGATCGTGCCCAATCTCTCACGCCCAGTAACGTGCCGATCTGCTACAGTCGTGCCACAGCGTATGTAAATACCACATTAAAAAAAAGTGATTGGCCTCCCGGCAAAGCACGCCCCAAGTTTTCAGCCCTGGTGCCCCCAGCAAAGACCGGAAACAAACCCAAAAGCCAATATCCCGCACACTGGAATAGGCGCAAACAGATTACCCGACCCCCGTAGGCCCACGGTTCCCTCCCAAACCACCCGAAAAATGTATTACCCCAGCTCCCACGCCAGTCTCGATGCGCCATTCCAATACAACGAACTTGCAACTAAGCACTGACGGGATGGCTCAATACGCCAGTACCAATCCGACTGGTGCACGCTGGCGGCCCGAGTCACTCTCACGCACAGAATTCCCATAACACACAGAAAATACTCCCTCACCAGCGATTCACAACATACCAACGACAGCTCTCACAACTACACCGACGGATGTCCCGCCTCACCATCGTGATCTCCCTACATCAACATTATTCTCACATACGCTACCGACTTACCCTTCACATCCCCATCCATCATTCCTGCCCACGGATGTACCATACAACTGTAATACACCTCCAACGATATCCCGTCATCCGATCTCCCTCTAAAGATATGCGCGTGGCTCAACCACTTCCCTCTACCGATTTACGGTAATTCGCGCGGCTCACGAATTACCCATACTATACAAAATCTCATATCACAGCCCATAGCATAGTACATATCACAGCATTACACTCTCACCACTCCCCTCTCACATGCCCTCTCACGATTCCTCTCACGATTCCCTCTCCACGATTCCCTCTCACGATTCCCTCTCACGATTCCCTCTCACGATCCCTCTCCACCGATTCCCTCTCACGATTCCCCTCTCACGAATTCCCTCTCACGATTCCCTCTCACGGATTCCCTCTCAGATTCCCTCTCACGGATTCCTATCACGATTCCCTCGCACGATTCCCTCTCACGATTCCCTCTCGCGATTCCCTCTCACGATTCCCTCTCACGATTCCCTCTCACGATTCCCTCTCACTTCCTCTCACGATTCCCTCTCACGATTCCCTCTCACGATTCCCTTCTCACGATTCCCTCTCACGATTCCAAAACTCCCGACGATTCCTTCTCACGATTCCTCCAACGATTCCTCCACGATTTCCCTTCCCACGATTCCCTCGCACGGATTCCTCGCACGATTCCCTCCCACGATTCCCTCCCACGATTCCCTCCCACGATTCCCTCCCACGATTGGCCCTCCCACGCTTCCCTCCCACAATTCCCTCTCCACGATTCCCTCGCACGATTCTTTCTCACAATTCCCTTCTCACAATTCCAAACTAAGAGAACATGTAGGGTCATTCAGCTTCTTATCTTATTCCCTGTAAACCAAGACCTTTCGATCTAGGTAAGTTAATGAACGCAAAATCTGACTTTGTATAGGCAATAACTAGCTATAAAACAATTCAGTAATAAATAAAAATATTGATTCAAACGTGTATTGATATTTTAAGTTGAAATTTTTTTACTTATTTTCAATGTTAATAAAGTTCAGGTTTTCACCCTTGTACTCGTCACCCG